AGAAATATATGCTCATAAAGCTTGAAATCTGTGTTTTTGTTTTGTAATCTGCATGAAACTAACGCGAGGTACAGTCTGTCAAATGCACAACACATGACAGCAACTACTCAAATGAGCACAAACTTGTAAAAGTGTCGCGTTCATTTCTGGAGGAGATTTGCTATTGAGACCAAGTTGTTGATTACTTCAGAAGCCCAGCAGGATCAGATGAAGCATTATTGTATATATTATATATTACATTACATAATGATGTGTATCACGGCCATAAACGGGGATGGTGTCGTGATCGCATTAATTTCAAGTGTGTATGCACATTAGCTGGGGTAACCTGAAAATATGCAGATTCTGTTTGATTCGAAGGTTTAGAAATAAAACTTCTGATAAAGCTGTTGTTTAATTTTATTCCAAATGGTTCCAAATATGTAATGTAATCATAAGCTTAGCAAACAATTTTAGAGAATTTGATGTTTCCTATTCAGACAGAATACCAGAGCATACTGCCTCAGAGGCGTTTCAAACATAGCCGCCAAGTGAAATGACTTGCCTTAAAGTAGCTTTGGTACAACTCAGAACAACCTACTGTAGCATTTGCCTAGACATCCCAAAGAAACCATGAAGAACGCCCTAGTAATGGTTTAGTAACACACAAGTAACTGCCTTAAAGCAGTCTGGCAACCACTCTGTACATCCTAACAACCGTTTAGAAATTCCACAAATACTGTGTAGCAAATGCACCATTGTAACCACCCAGATCAAACTAGTAACCATCTAAACCACTTTAAAAAGCACCCAAAGACTGTAGTGACTACATAAGATAAAAAAAAAAATACTCTAGCAGCCAATAGCAGTATGGCAGCTGATATAATGTGAATTACTGAAAATAAATATGACAAGCTCTATAATAGTTTATCATGCTGAATCTAAAAATCCTAAAACTCTATATCCAATTTGCCTTAAAACCCCTAAAAGTTGACAATTAAAGCCAAAATATGGCCTACTAAAAGCAATTTTCTGATTTCTCAATACTCATTTAAGTTTCCCCAACAAAAGCAGCAGAAAAAGCTTTGTGTGGGTGAGCTGAATGGTGACTTGTGTCGGTGGCACATTTAACAAAATCACTGGCCGAAGATAAACTCCTGCAATTCCAGCGTCATGCTGTCACCCAGCAGGCGAGTGTCACGTGTTGAGGATTACAGATGTGGAAATCAAACTAAACGTCTAAGTACGTGATTACCAGAGTCCCTTATAAAGGCAAATGGCAGCAGTGTGTGGAAAGCTCAGGTCTCTTAACCATGTTAACCTCTCCAATCTACACTCCAAAATTCGGTTTTACTTAAAGCCGCCTCCACTGTGAGTCTCCATTGGGGTGCTGACAATCCCATGACCCAGTTTCACAGCTCAAATCCTACAGTGGAAGGCACTCCAGAGCTCCTCGCAGTGAGATTACTGTCACAAAGAGCTCATTTCTGCTGCTCCTGCCCCAATGAAAAACACTCCATTCAGTCCCAACCGTGTGAGCTTAGCGCTGTAGAAAATACGCCTCAGGAGACAGAAGAGAGTGTCCATCTCCAGCTGGCATGCAAACAGTCGGGAGGCCATCAGGTCAGACCTCATGCCAACCTAAAACTCAGAGGCTGGTGATCACCACCAAGCTACTCAAAGAGCATTTGCATCCAACAAAAGAGCAGTGATTGTGCTCTGAAGTGCTTTATGCAGAGAGAGACGGGTAGGAATGAACGGGACTTAAAGCAAGAGGGTTATCAGAGTTTACAAGACCCAATCACAGAATAAAAAGGTTAAGAGAGGAGAAAGAAAAGAATGGGAGGCAGGACAAAGTGTTAAACTAGAATGGATGGGAGGGGGTTTTCTGTTGGAGAGTGCTTGAGATCTGCCACAATATGATGAAAAGAAAAGAAGGGAAGAGATGAATGTAAGAGGCAGCTCGCTGAGCTGAAGTTGTGGGAGAAGATGTATCTAAACAGTACACGTCTCTCTCAATTATTCAGTCTTCCCACTGCAGTTGACTGAAAATGCTCTCATCTCATTTTCGTCAGCTTTTCCAGAGCTGGATCATGGGGGCAGCAGTCTTAGGAGAGAACTCCAGACACTTCCTCCAGCTCCTCCGGGGGGATCCGAGGCATTCCCAGGCCAGCTGAGAAACATAGTCCCTCCAGCGTGCCCTGGGTCTTCCTTGAGACCTCCTCCTGGTGGGACTCCCGGGTGTCAGAGTTCCTCACCCTATTTAAAAGGGCGCACCCTGCCACCCTACGAAGGAAACTCATTTCGGCCACTTGTATCCGAGATCTTGTTGTTTCGGTCATGACCCAAAGCTCTTGACCATAGGTAAGAGTTGGAACGTAAATTGACAGATAAATCGAGAGCTTCAGCATGCACTGGGGCAATTTACTGCCAAGTATTACTCGGCTGGTATGAGAATCAGCACCTTTAAGTCCGAGGTAGTGGTACTGCACAAGAAAAAGGTGGTTTGCCATTTCCAGGTAGGAGGAAAGTCCTTAACCCAGGTGGAGGAGTTCAAATATCTTGGGCTTTTGTTCAAGAATGAGGAAAGGATGGAACGTGAGATTGACAGGGCTGAAAACGATAAGTGGGCTAAAACTAAAGAGTGCTGAAACATTTAGAAAGATTCAGATGAAATATGAGGGGGAAAAAGAAGTAGAAAGACAAGGAAAAGACTAACCTAAATGTAGCTGTACTACTGCTGTCCTTTTACTAATTGTGTTTTTCAAAGCCCTTACAGCATGAGAACTGGAAAAAGTCACCGTCAGCAAGCACTTCCAAAACCCACAGCAAGACTGCAAGGTGAAAACAAACCACAGGCTCTTTCAAATTGAGTCATTCTCTATGGCAGTACCTTGTCACTCAAGGAGCTGTTGGAGCCAGAAAGCAATGAATGCTGTGTCAGCTGACTGGGATTTTATGAATTAACCAACCTCTTATTGCATTCGGAGTAAATATTTTATTTTTGATGTAATCTTTAAGCTGCAGCCCGGTTTCCATCACTCATGGTAATGAATAGCTGTTAAAATGTTAAACATTTTTCGCATTGGTGTAGAATGTTTCTTGTGGCACTGAGATGAATCTGACGTGCAGCAGAAAATAAGAGTATTACTGAAGCTCATTGAAAATGTAGTCATCTAAATAAACCAATGAGATAAACTGAGCACTACAACCTATAAAAAGGAGACAAAACAGCCTATTAAGGGAATTGATTCTGTTGTTTTAAAGGTTTGAAAAGCTTCTCCCATCACTAACAAAAACTACAGTGTCAATGTACTGTGCATGTATTCTTTCTTTACAGATTAACATTGCCAACTGATGGCCTGGCATCCAAAATACAGCCTTTTTTTCTCTGCTTGGATGTATCCCAACTGACCTTCCATTTCGATAGTCAACACAAGCTTTTCTGCTGCTATCACAACCATCCACCATTAAGAAGGGTTATCAAATCTGACTAAGGCCTATTGCTAACAACCCAATTAACAGACACCCTCATTGACAAGATCTGACAGTAACTATCAGCCATAGTTCAACCATAGTGCACTAAACTGATTGTGATGGATATCTCAATCTCTCTACCCTACTTCCTAATTACTCAAATGTTCCCTGGATTTCTGTCCAAACCCCCTCCTTCCTGATGTACAATTCCACCCACAAGAAAACAGTCCAGAATGGCTAAATGAATATTTAAAAGCTGCAGTCTTCTCAGTCCTGGGGTGGCGTTCAGGCAAGTTCCTCTAACGGGAACTAAGGAGTGACAGGGCTTTGGAAAAAAAAAAAAAAAGTCGAAGAGAGAAACAAATGCATAAAAAAATAATTACAGTGCAGCTCTCACCGTGGCTAGAAAGCAGACAACATTAATGATGCCATTAGTGCATTCTGTGAACAGTGTAAAGACCTGAGTTTAAACTTGTTACCATGAACATGTAATAATAAAGCACGCTGTCTCTTTGTCAGAGGGGGCAGCTTAATTTGTCAGGTTTCATTTAGTTGTTTTTTTCCCTTTAATGGATCTTTTGTTGGAAAGTATGAAAGACAACAAAATGCAAAACACTCCCAACAAAAGATTGCTGATTTGTATGAGGTATGTGGGTTTTACACAAGGGCTACTGCTTCATTACACAATAATTATGGCAAAATGTGAATTGAATACTAATTGTGGGCTGTGTTACATTTATCTATCCATATAGCTACCTCACTCACCTATTAATCCACAGTGAACATGATTTCATTAAATAGTACACAATCTGTGATCAACATCTTTGAAACGACATTTCAAATAAACCAATCAGATTGGAAGCATATGTTCATATACTGTAGTTAATATCAAAGTTAAGCTTTGAATAAGGTTAGCGGTTTGTACATCATTCTTATTCAGAAATTCACCTTTGATGTTAGGGGTTGTTATGATTAGGGTAAGGTTTAGGTTTATTCCAAGATTAAGAAAATTAGTTAAACATGTCTGAATTGGCAAAAAAAAAAAAAAAAAATCACACCATTTGAGGTACCTCCCTATCTGTTCCCAACTTACTCACACACGAGTCTATCAACCTACCCAACCTTCCACCCGCAGACTTACCTATCCCTCTATGTATGTTTACATATGTACCTATATAATACACATCAATAGCCATAATTTTATCCACCCATCCCCATTAGCTCAGCTGTAGGATATGGCCCATGCTGTCACATATCTCAAAATTAATCTAACAATAAGCCACCTTAATCTCTTCCATCCAATCATTAGATCACTCTAAAGCACTGTAGGCTTTTGAGTCAAACAAAACCTTCAACCCCATCTGCTACAGTTTCTCTTACACAAACCAATCCTTTAAAGCCACAACATGGCAACATGGAAAACTATGAAGAACATCTGAATTTGGCCACATTTGGCATTTAAAACCGCTAAATTAGTTATTAAAGACCAAAAATTCTGCTACTATAAAGCAATCGTTTAAGAAAGTGAAATCCATATAACTTACGTTGACAGTGTCCATCCACTTCCTCGAAACCTGGCCTGCAAACACAGCGGCCGATGGGCACCAGCCAACCTCCATCTGCACTGCAAAACATCCTTGGTCCCTCCAGCTCTTCTGCATCTTCCACACAAGTCCCACGCACTTCCACCAGCGCTGAATCACCACCCGTCACCGTGTCTGGAAACCGAGCCAGATTGAGCACCGCCAACGGACAGCGTTTATAAAAGACTCTCACTGACACCAGAGCAATGCAAGCACCAAGGTCCTGAAATGCCAGATACAAGCCTCTCTTACTGAGGCCACTGATATCTCGTACTTCTGTGTTTAACTTCATCACACGATCCCCAACGTCTGTCTGTGTGAAGCTCTCGTCAGCTGCTATAGTGTCGATCTTGATGTACTGGTTCTCACGAATGTGCCGCAAAGGTGCGGCAACTGCATTGTTGGATTCGTGGTAGTACACGTTAAACGTCTCCTTACAGGTTCCAGGGACTCCCGGCAGGCTGTTGCAGTCACGCAGAGTAAATTTGATCTCCACATAGACGCGCTGAGCACCTTCTCGTTGAATCAGTCCAGTACGCAACCAGTTGTTCTGATTGGCTTCCATTACGTTGCATACCTGGTAAGTCCTCATAGGTATGTTCCTCTCATCCATAACACTAATCTCCTCCCACTAAGGAACATAAACAAATGAAAGTCAATCAATCCAAAGAGATAAACATCCCGCAGTTCTTTGGTAATTGTCTTGTGTGATTTGGCTCTATACTCTTCAGCCTCTTACACAAGATTCTGACATGAATGATGGGCACATTATGAGAAAAGGCTTCATTTAACTGTCATCAATAGGAAAGTGCATGTGATGGGCAATCAGCTCAGAGTTACGCACTGAATGGCCTCAGTTGTATTGTTCATGAATAAATCAACTCATTGTTGACGCAGAGAAATTGATGTAATTAAGCTTTCAAATGTTAAAACATTAAAATCAACAAAAGCGAAAGAAAACCACAAATAATGACTTGGTTTGTTGGTTTGGCATTGACATCAGTAGGTTGTGTGGGTTAAAATAATAGCACAAAAACTAGCAAATATTCAAATGGTCTTCGCATGTCAAATCTTTGATTTTAGAATTGTAGTAAGCCAAACCTTGACAACTTCCCCTGGTTTATCAGCAGCACTCAAAAACATGAGATATTTCTCTTTACAGGCACTCATGAATTGGAGCGTGACTACTTGTGCCAAGGCCACTATTACAATCCATCTTCATCTTGTGAAAGTGGATTTGAATGAATGACACGAAAGCGTGGGATGAGAACCAACTCCCACAGAGGAGGCAGAGGATCGTTTCTCAGCGGGTTGGCAGTGTTGTTTCAAAAGAGATGTTCTCCTACAACCCCCCATATGACAATCTAAAGAGTCACTGCCTGTATGTTCACAGAGGGGAGCTGTGGGCCACTCAGGGTCAAGAAGATCAGGCACTATACTTTAAAAAAGGGGTGTAATATCAATTGTACGCATTGAAGATTTGGGCTGGTAATTGAAAGATTTAAGCTTTAAACTCCACTGAGGCAACCATTAGATGTTACAAAGTGTGCACTGTTCAATAGTGAACTCACAAGGCTTTTAAATCTGTTTTTGACATCAGAATTTGACTGCTGAAACTACCAGAATGCACAGTCTACACAGAACTGACTCTTAATACTATAAATTCTTTCTACCAGGAGACGCTGAATAGCTTAAATATCATTGGTAATGACAGAACTACAATTGAATAAGTACATATCTGAAAACCATGGACAGTGGCTGACATATTAAACCAATTCATCTTAGAATCTTGACAAAGATAATGGGAAAAAGGCCAAGGGCAACTGGCACAAGCATAGAGGTCTTTTAATTTTTTTCTGATGGCCGTATTTCGGTTGTGTTAAGAGGACTTTCACTGATACTCACCCCCTCTGATGGATACGCTTCCCAACCCAGATCACCTGGGGCGGACATGGAGTCAAGCAGGGTAACTGTAAAAGAATGAAAAGAAAAAAGGTATAGAGTTAGCAACAGTGCTTACAGAATGTTTTTATAGCTTGTTCATAATTTCTTCCAACAACAATGGGGTTTTTACACAGCATGACGCCAGGTAAAGCATGAATCATTCAAGGCTACATAGTTTCTGAATAAAATATAGCTCTGGAAATGTCACAACCACTTATAACAGGGTAATCAACACTTTTTTTGCATTTAAGGTTGTTCATTCTAGTTAAAGAGGTCATGAATTGAGAAATCAACTTTACTTGAGCTTAAGAGGTCATCATACTAAAAGAATAGTTTCAGACTAGAAGTTTCAGAGCTGAAATCGCTCTACACTAAAAGCTTTTATTGACACCAGTCCCAGAAAATGCCAGATCCTGGAATTTACCTATCTATAACAACAATGCCTAATTCCAGCCACTGATTTGCGCATGAAAATAGTACAGAAATAATGTAAGTGGTGCGAAACTGGATTGAGCAATGAAGCCATAAACATGCAGGCAGTGGCGGATTTAGGCATGGGCAATATGGCCAATTGCTCAGGGCGGTGGACGGTGCAAAAAAAAAAAAAAAAAAAAGAGCCCCAGAAAAAGTTAAGATATGATTTACTTTATGCAACTTTATTAATTTAGAGTGTTAATCCCAGAATAAAGACGTTAATGTCCTGTGAAACTGGAGTAACCAGAGTAATTTTTATGCAAAGGTGTCGGCACGCAGTAAGTTTTGCAAGTCGACAAAACAAAAATTATAATATGATGATGATGGTCTAATTTTGACTAAGCATGGCTATGAAGCAGAAAGGAGGGATAATAGGTAAGACCCCAATCTTAATTCTATTTTGTACCCCTACCCCTTGGGCCTTAAAACATATTGTGAAGGAGAAAGGCTACAAAATGTACCCCTAAGAAATGGGACACTACTACAGCACCTGCACACGTCATCATGTCATCGAGATGTCTTGCTTCATATGAGATTGACGATCATCACTGCTGTAGTCATTTCAGTTGCGATATTTTTTGGTATGACGGTCATGACGGTAAAACACAAACGTGGTTATTTTATAATACTGACAGAAAAATACTAATTTGTGCATCTCCTTACTTTCGTGTGCAGCCATACTGCCACTGTAGCTGGTGTATTCTGGGAAATAATCTTACCCCTTTCGAGTGTGGTCCTGAAAAATCTCTGTTTCGAGGGGTATCTAGGCCTTCTTCTTAGCCCTACTCCTTCAAGCTAAAGAGAATCTGGAAACACTTTTTTTTTTTTTTTTGTATTTTATAGATTTGTTATTAATATTCATGATTAAATTGTGTATTTTTTGGTACTGGCCATTATGCCTAACAATGACCACTGGGCTACTTTAATGTAACTTTAAGTAAGGTCCAGATGTAGTGAAATTAGTAACATTTCAGTTTATTTGTATGCTGTCTGAATTGTTTGTTTGAGACCATGTGTTCCAAATGGAGTAATAAAAAAAGTCAACCACATAGTTTTAATATGGTTCTAGTTTTTTAGGGGAGCTGGTTATGGGGTGGTTCACCCAGGGTGCCAATTAAACTAGAACTGCCATTGCGTGCAGGTGAATGCCTGGTTGTGGAAGAACCAAGCTGCTGCATAACCTGTCTTCAGTTATGAATATATTTTACTTGAATAACACACTAAGGAACTCAAATCAGGTATATGCAGGAACCAGAGTGTAAAAGACTCCTTCCATACATTTTAAGATATCATCGCCACTTAAGGTCTGAACAGGTAACATTGGTAACATTTTAAATATATTCACTATGTACTGATTGTAAGAAACCAATCCTAAACTAAAACATTATTCATATACTCTATAAATATGCTAATCCAGAAGGTTTCACCTTGGTTACTGCTGTAATCAAAGCAATGTGACATCAAATATAGCAGGATTTTATCGATTTCATAAATACACAGAATCCCAAAATTTTAAACTTTAGAACACAACTGTAATTATACGACTGTATAATCAAAAATGATGTAAAACTTAAGAATTTTTAAGGGCCTTACATTACTCTAAATTGATTTATTAACTTAATACTTTTTAAGACCCCCACAGAGACCCTGTAAAAGAAATAACCACTCCAACAAGTATTGTATACATTCTGTGATGCTTTCCGCAAATTCAACAAAAGAGACAAGAAAGCGCAGATGGATATCTTTTATATGTTTTATTATCATTGTATTGTAATATTTATTTATTATTATAGTAAAACATTTACAGCAGTGGTGTCCAAACTCGGTCCTTGAGGGCCGGTGTCCTGCATAGTTTAGCTCCAACTTGCTTCAACACAGCTCCCTGGAAGTTTCTAGCATACCTAGAAAGAGCTTAGTTAGCTGGTTCAGGTGTGTTTAATTGAGGTTGGAATAAAAAAAATATGCAGGACACCGGCCCTCCAAGATTGAGTTTGGACACCCCTGATTTACAGTATAGAATTATGACTATACAATTATAAAAAGCCAGATCACGACCCCTTCATTTAGATAACCATGACAAATACATAATGTGTTTCAATTATTGAGCAAAACCTCAACAGTTTCCAAATAAACTACAGCCAGGAAGGGGTTATAAATTCAGTCGTGACCATTACGAAACATGTGATTTGCAGCTCTTCGCACAGTCCTTTTGAAATCTGTTCTCACATCAATATTTTCAGAGGTTGATGGTGCTATTTATAACAGTCTTTCAATATCCCAATGGTCGGAGCCCTGAACTTCCCACTTTGAGCTCCGTTCCAAACCAATTACAACCCTGGCAACAGGGGTGATTAATTCTTAATCACATCCAAACCTCAGATGTTCCTCCTCTTTCACGCTGAATATCAACCTCTCTCTCTCTTTCTCCTGGCATTTGTGTGTGCCCTTTTGTAAGGATTTCCAAAAAAAAAAAAAAAAAAAAAAAAAAGGAAAAGGAAAATGGGAAAATCAAAGACCATCTGGATCCAAATTCTAATTAAAACTGACTGCCAATGGGTTTGTGTGACATGCAAACAGTGTGCATTTTTAAATCGCACTTTGATGGTTGGTTGATGTGGAAACCGGGATTATGTTTGGTTTTATGGGTCATATACAGAGCGATTGGGCAAATTTGATGACTTGACAGTTGACGCTCGAAGAGAAAACCATATGTATAGTCAAAGCAGGATATTGCTTCTTAACCGAACACGGATTACGATGCCATTAACCGCTGGTGCTTGTGTGGCTGTTTTCTGATTAAGGGGTAAAACCAGACAGGATAATGCATCAGTCCAAACGATCTGGAAATCATTCTGTTCGGCCTTTCAAAGACACATTTAATAAAACAAACAAATGAATACAGCCACGGGCCTCGCACAGCCCATTAATACAAGCAGCAGGTAGCATTTAACTCGCAGCAAGGCAAAATTATTCCAGCCGAGACATCAGTTCTGGCTCAGACAGCATTCTCTAAACACTAGATTCTTTAAAGCCTTGCATGTTGTGTTTTTTTTTTTTTTAATCTCAAACAATTGATGTGCTCAAACATCTAAATCAGCCAGACCCCCAAAAAAGACTTGTTGTTTCACTACCAATTCCACTTGTTTAACCAGTAGAACCTGATTAACTTCCAACTTGCAGGTAAACATAACTGCTATGCTATATTATACAATTTAAATGTGTCTGATGTAAGTTTTTGACTTTTTTAAACCATAAAAATACCTTAATATGTTGGCAGATATTTAGGAACATGCTAAGTAGGGTTGGGCCGATAGACGATGCCATCGTCCATCACCGAAGGCCAACACGATGCTGAGCTGGCATCACCGATCCTCTGCCTCGCTCCCATCACAAACCCGCTCGTGAAAAATACACATTTAGGCTCCGTTTACACTAATACATCTTAGTGTTAAAATGGCATTTTAGAACGAAAATGATCCATATCCACACCGTGTTTTACCTAGCATTTCTGAACAACACTCCATCCACTGAAAACGCACATCACGTGACGACACACACACGCATGCACGCATGCACGCATGCACGCACGCACGCACGCACGCACGCACGCACGCACGCACATACACACACACACACACACACACACACACACACACACACACACACACACACACACACACACGCTCCTCTGAGCTCCTGAGATCATTGCACGTCGGACAGTTTATCAAGGATGTACCGCTGGATCACGTCTCACTATAGTTGTTGAACGTGATATTCTGACATTCCAAGTCTCCCGGAAGTTCTGGGAGTCTCTATGCATTTGCGGGACTCATAATGCCCGCAAACGAGTGATAATCTCATGGAAATCGCGCGTCTCGCTCCCAGTCATCACATAAGACCCTTCTCACCCCCGGATCCCTCCTCGCTCTTCAGACATGTAGCGCACACTCTGTCAGCATCCTAAGTTAAGTTTGTTTTTATTGATATAACAACACACTACATGACGAGACTTGCAGTGAAATGCAATTTGGCTGTTTGCACCACACAAAACAAGACAGAAATTTAAATAAAGCTATTCAGAAGCACAGAATAGTGCACTCACTGCACTCCAATAAAATGGAAATGTTTACAATCTAATTAATACACTTTAAACCCCTTTAACATTATTATATGCACATGTTGAATCATTGATATGTGTTGGTTTTGAGTCAAAGATCTAAAGTTCCATTTCAAACGGTTTATTTTAATGTCAAGGTCCGAGGTGAATTATCCGATGCTGCTTTCAGTAGTATGGCAATAAATGCCTGTCACACTGTTAGCATTTAACACCATGAGGTGCACCTGAGCTGATCATTGTCAGTTTTTTGTTCAGCTACAAGAAATTAAAGCTGTTTCTATTACATCAATTCGAGGTGTTGGTTAAAACAAAACTCCTTTTAATATGGAAAATATTCCTTCTGTTGCATGCCATCAGACTTGCTCCTGTTGGTCCTCAATCTGGTAACCTGCACTTGTGTTGGTTTTGATCAAAGAATGCAATACCTAGTTCAAC